TTTTTATATTTTTAATATATATTTATATATTTTTTTATATAGATATAATTTTTTTTTTTTTTAAAGAGACAAGTGTCACTGTGTCACCCAGGCTGGTCTTGAACTCCGGGGCTCAAGCAGTCCTCCTGCCTTGGCCTCCTAAAGTGCTGGGATTACAGGCGTGAGCCACCTTCCCCAGCCTGAATACTAAATCCTTACATGTCCTTGGATTTCTTTCTAGGGGTCCTCTTCTGATTCATTGCTCTTTCTGCCTGTTTCTCAAGTTTCATGCTGTTAATACAAGTCCCTTCTCAGGGGCTATTTTTATCTATGTTTTTTCTTGAGGCTATTACATCTTTATAATCATAAGGGGATAGCCTTAAACTGATACTTTTCATTTACTCAGATCTTTAAGTCTTACACATTTCTAATTAAGTTTATTCTAAGGCATAGTTCACTGTTAGAATTGTGAATGAGGTCTTTATAATGTTATACATTCTAGTCAGTTATTGATGGACTGTAACAAAACAACTGATTAGACCAGGCACAGTGGCTCAGGCCTGTAATCTCAGCAATTTGGGAGGCCGAGGCAAGCGGATCACTTGAGGTCAGGAGTTCAAGACCAGTGTGGCCAACATAGTGAAACCCCATCTATACTAAAACTACAAAAATTAGCCAGGAGTGGTGATGGGTGCCTATAATCCCAGCTACTTGGGAGGCTGAGGCATGAGAATCGCTTGAACCCGGGAGGTAGAGGTTGCAGTGAGCCAAGATTGAGCCACTGCCTTCCAGCCTGGGCAACAGCAAGACTCGGTCTCAAAAAACAAAAGATAGCTTATTAGAGTATAATTATGTTGATACTAGTTACAAGTTTCCAGAGCCTTAGTTCACATGCGCTCCTGTGTTCTAGGTGTGGTTTGACCGAAGAACCAATTATACCCGTTCTTTAGCGGTCATGTCAATGGTTGGGTATATTTTAGGCCTGGGAGATAGGTGAGTAATTTAATTTGGTTTTTTAGTCTTCTTTCTCCATTGTAGTTTTCCTGAATGGTTTCATTTGGTTTTCCAATTAAATATATGGCTCTTTGGTAAATAAATATTGGTATTGTGTATGTAAGGTCTCTTTTACAACATTAGCCTTAGTTCCCTGTTGTTTGTGATGCCATCAGAACGATACATCAAAGTAAAGAAAAGGAAAAATAGTTCAAGCTGGGTGCAGTGGCTCATGCCTGTCATCCCGGCTATTCGGGAGGCCAGGGCGAGAGGACCATTTGAGCCCAACGTGGGCAATAGCAAGACCCATCTCAAAAAAGCCCCACATAGTTCAAGGATAGTACTTTCTCCTTAGGTTGGCTTAATGTATTAAAAACTGTATTACAGGGCAGGCTCAGTGGCTCATGCCTATAACTCCAGCACTTTGGGAGGCTGAGGTGGGAGGATCATTTGATCCCAGGAATATGAAACCAGCCTGGGCAACATAACAAGATCCCATCTCTACAAAAAATAAACAAAATAGTTAGCCAAGCATGGTGGCTTGCACATGTAGTCTCCCAGCTCTTTGGGAGACTGAGGTGGGAGGATCATTTGAGCCCAGAAAGTCAAGGCTGCACTGAGCTGTGATCACACCACTGCACTCCAGCCTGGGCGACAGACTAAGACTGTCAAAAAAAAAAATTATTGATTTTTTATGATTCAATAAACATTTGTCAATAAACACTGTGCTAAATCATTTTACTTCTGTAATTGAAACCAACCAAATTAGATCCTTCTGATATTTTTGCATAATAAGTTCAAATATACTGGCTGAAAATTAATTTAAGAATGTTCAGAAATGGACTCACAGGAATGTAAAAGAGACTGGTTCTCTGATGTCTGCTGTTTTTCTCCTGGAATCATGTCTCATGCAGCTATTTGAGAGTAAAAATAATTTTGCCCCACAAAAATAGATTTTTGTTTTAAAAAGTCTGGCAAAATGTCTGTTGATGAAAGGCAGGTGGTGGCCGGGATTGGCTCAGAGGCTTAAGGAGAAGAGACCCTGTTACTGCTCAGTAAAAATGATAGAGCCTTGTCACCTGTAGGTGCCAGTGCTGCCAGAAACTACTTATTAGGTCACCAAAGACCCCAGAAAAGCACCGTATCTCAGTACAGTGGGATAGCCTGTGATTCACACACCTAAACCCCTATTACAGCAGGAGTCGGCAAACTGTTTCTGTAAAGGACCAGTTAATAAGTGGTTTTAGGCTTTGTGGGCCCTGTGGTCTCTGTCACAACTTCTCAACTCTGCTGTTGGAGCACAGTATCTACACAAGGGAATGTGCTATGTTCCAGTAAAACTGGACTTGTAGAAGCAGAGATGGAGGGGCTGGATTGGCTGAGGGCTGTCATTTATCAACTCCTAGCTTACAGTATCACGTACTTATTGATATTTTTCATCTGTGCTCTCTGTTGATCCCTCCCTGATCTCTCTGCTGTTTCTCAAAGACACCCATCCAACCTGATGCTGGACCGTCTGAGTGGGAAGATCCTGCACATTGACTTTGGGGACTGCTTTGAGGTGAACACATGTTCTAGAACCCCAACCTCATCTTCCCGGGTGATCACTTTTCCCCCTCCTCTGACACTTGAGGCAAACTTAAGCCTAAACTGCCTCACTTTTACCCCTGCTACTCCTACCAAGGCTGTAGTTAAGTCAGTCAAAGAAATGAAATCTGGGTTCTTAGTTGGACTTTAACAAAACCCCTTGGGGCAAGGGCTGCTGTTCACACGCCCTCTTTGAGCAGAGGAGGCCCCCATTCTCCACACTGCCTGTTGTCCAAGGGCCTGGGAACCATGCACATTTGTCTTTTTTCCTTTTTGGTTTCCCTTCTTTTCTGTTTGTTTGTTGTTTTTTAAGTTGTCTTTCAAATCCTTGTGACAAGTCCTCTCACTAAACCCAAAGCTGCTTCACTTCTCTGCTCTAATTAAAATCGGTGTGGGTGATGCAGAGGAAAGCCACCTGCTCCATCTGGCTCCAGGTAAAAAAAATAAACATGGATTTGGCTTTTCCCATTTATTATTCTGTAGGTTGCTATGACCCGAGAGAAGTTTCCAGAGAAGATTCCATTTAGACTAACAAGAATGTTGACCAATGCTATGGAGGTGAGTGGATATTGGGAGCAAGCTGCTTGGAAATGGGATCAGGACAGTTGCAACCTTCTCTGAGGACACACTTGCTTGTTAGAGCTCATCAGTTCCCAAAAATGCCTATGTGATTTTTGTAGCAGTTTTCTGTTATTGCCTATTGTGTTAGAAATGATCCATCTATGAAAGGCTTACCACTTCACCTCTGACCTGGCTTCCGAACGTGGACCACAATCCTGCCCTGATTACTTCTCCTAAGACATTCTTAGCCTGATACATCAGTATGGCCTGTGTCTGCTTGTCTGCTTCCTAAGTGAGGGTAACAGACCCCCTCAGCTTGCTTTGGGTGGAGAGTTAGTAACTCCTGTGGTGAGTGGCTCTGTCCCATTTCTAGGTTACAGGCCTGGATGGCAACTACAGAATCACATGCCACACGGTGATGGAGGTGCTACGGGAGCACAAGGACAGTGTCATGGCCGTGCTGGAAGCCTTTGTCTATGACCCCTTGCTGAACTGGAGGCTAATGGACAGTGAGTATCAAGTGCCTGGGAGCTGAGCTCTGTGGCTCACACCTGTAATCCTAACATTTAGAGAGGCCAAGGCAGAGGGGTTGCTTGAGGCCTGTAGTTCAAGACAAGCCTGAGCAGCATATTAAGACCGCTCTGTACAAAAACTGAAAAAATTTGGCATGTATTAGTATGTTCTCACACTGCTGTAAAGAACTGCCTGAGACTGGGTAATTTATAAAAGAAAGAGGTTTAATTGACTCACAGTTTCACTTGGCTTGGGAGAACTCAGGAAACTTACAATCATGGTAGGAAGGGAAGCAAACACATCCTTCTTCACTTGGGGGCAGAAGAGAGAAGTACAGAGTAAAGAGGGGAAAAGCCCCTTTTAAAACCATCATTGGCTGGGTGTGGTGGGTCTGTAATCCCAGCACTTTGGAAGGCTGAGGCGGGGGGATCATCAGGTCAGGAGATTGAGACCATCCTGCTAACACAGTGAAACCCCATCCCTACTTAAAATACAAAAAATTAGCCAGGCATGGTGGTGGGCGCCTGTAGTCCCAGCTACTTGGGAGGCTGAGGCAGGAAAATTGCTTGAACCCAGGAGGCGGAGGTTACAGGAGCCAAAATCATGACTACTGAACTCCAGTCTGGGCAACAGAATGAGACTCTTGCTCACTGAAAAAAAAAAAAAAAAAAGGCTTGGTGCGGTGGCTCACACCTATAATCTCAGCGCTTTGAGGGACCAAGGCAGGCAGATCACCTGAGGTCAGGAGTTCAAGCCAGCCTGGCCAACATGGTGAAACCCTGTCTCTACACAAATACAAAAAAAATTAGCCGGGCCTGATGGTGGGTGCCTATAATCCCAGCTACTCCAGAGGCTGAGGTGAGAGAATTGCTTGAACCTGGGAGGCAGAGATGGCAGTGAGCCAGGATTGTGCCATTCCACTCCAGCCTGGGTGACAGAGAGAGACTCTGTCTCAAAAAAAAAGAAAGCCCCACCATATCTCATGAGAACTCTGAACTCTGTCACTATCACATGAACAGCATGGAGGAACCACCCCCATGATCTAATTACCTCCCACAAGGTCCCACCCCAACATGGAGATTACAATTTGGATTACAATTTAAGAGGAGATTTTGGGTAGGGACACAGCCAAACCATATTAAGGTGGGTACAGTGGCACGAGCTGGTAGTCCTACCTACTCAGGAGGCTGACGCAGAAGGATCACTTGAGCCTAGGAGGTTCAGGCACAGTGAGCTATGATTATGCCACTACACTCTAGCCTAGGCGACCTTGTCTCAAAAAAAAATTTTTTTAATTTTAAAAATAAATAAAAAATAAAATCAAGTGTGTGGAAGCTGGGGTTGGCAACCTCCCAAATTAGCAGTATCCAGCATATAACATTTTACAAAACCTATGCCCCTTCAAGCCTGCAGCCTGAGATACATTCCCGTGTATTGCATAACATTTGCACAGGGCAGTTCTGACAGCTGGAAACACCATCATCGATTTAGATACTAAAATATTCTTCAATATTAACCAAGTATTCTAGTGATTTTTCTCTGGGTTTCATATAGCATAGTAAGCCGAAATTTTGTTTCTTAGACGGAGTTTTGCTCTTGTTGCCCAGGATGGAGTGCAGTGGTGCGATCTTGGCTCACTGGTTCAAGTGATTCTCTCCACCTCCTAGGTTCAAGCGATTCTCCTGCCTCAGCCTTCCGAGTAGCTGGGATTACAGGCATGTGCCATCATGCCTGGCTAATTTTGTATTTTTAGTAGAGACGGGGTTTCTCCATGTTGGTCAGGCTGGTCTTGAACTCCCGACCTTAGGCATCCCTTCTGCCCACCTTGGCCTCCCAAAGTGCTGGGATTACAGGTATGAGCCACCACGTCCGGCAAGCCAAAATTTTAATAAGAAATGCAAACAGTTATGATTTGGGACAGCAGCATCTTCATCTACCCTTTGTTCTGCCACCTCAGGGGAAGTAAAGAGCTTCTAATCCACTGAAATTTAACCATGCTTTGACCTTATATTATCTGTATTACATTGTCTAAGTCCAAATCAACAGTATAAAGTATCCCCCTGGATTTCACATCCCATGCTAACACCCACCCACTTATTCCCAAGTAATATATCTGCCTTCTGTCTTTTGGGGGCTGTAGCTTTAGGAAAAATTGTATTTCTATGACTGGAAGAAAGTATCATATCAACCAGTTTCTTTTTTTTTTTTTTTTTTTTTTTTTTTTTAGACGATGTCTGACTCTTGTTGCCCAGGCTGGAGTGCAATGGCACGATCTCAGCTCACCACAACCTCTGCCTCCCAGGTTCAGGTGATTCTCCTGTCTCAGCCTCTCAAGTAGCTGGGATTACAGGCGCCCGCCACCATGCACAGCTAATTTTTTGTATTTTTAGTATAGAGATGGGGTTTCACTATGTTGGTCAGGCTAGTCTCGAACTCCTGACCTCAGGCAATCCACCCGCCTTGGCCTCCCAAAGTGCTGGGATTATAGGCATGAGCCACCTCGCCCGGCCTCAACCAAGTTTCTTTCAAGTCAAAATTTGAAGCACGTTTCAATACTCTTTCTTTCTCTCTCTAGCAAATACCAAAGGCAACAAGCGATCCCGAACGAGGACAGATTCCTACTCTGCTGGCCAGTCAGTAGGTGGGTGCATCCCACGGGAGGTCGCAAAGGCTCTCCCCTTGTGCAAATGTGTTTCTAGAATGGGGTGGGCTTCTAGTCAGTGGGTGCATCCTGCTGGAGGTTACAGAGGCTTTCCCCCTTGTCCAGAGTGTTTCTAGAATGGGGTGGGCTTTGTTATTGCCAGTAGGAGGCTTAACTAGTAATGGCTACTGAATATGAAGGAAGTAAAACTAGTTTTCTCTTGGCTCTTGACAGTGATAGTTTTGCAAAGGTGCTATCACTGCCAACATGTCACCTGATAAGCATTTAATCAGACTTCAGATACTCAGTTTAGAAATATTTACTGAGCACCAAACAGCTAATATGTTTTTTATTCACTGTTTCGCACATGGAGTGGGCACCTGAAGCTCCGAGATTTTTATCAAACTATCTGATTTTAATCTATCTGTAAAAACACAGTTTAAAGTAAGTCTCAATATCAGCCCACTAATGGTGTCTGGGTTGGGGTAATTATTAACAGTATTACCTTGGTCCTCAAACATTGATAATAGCTCAGAAATGGGAAGATGCAAACAGCAGAAATTTATTTGCATTGCTGGGAGGAGCCCTGGAACTACATGGAACAGTGTTTGTAGGAGCGCGACTCACAGAGCAGGAGTCTAGGAAGACTTGGGTCCCCCCGAGAGCCAGAGTACTTTTTCTGTGTGTTGAAACCTCTCAGGAGCGTTCGAGTCAAGCTGTTTAACTTTGTTTTATTTGATTTGTATTAGTTTCCACCACACACAACATTGAGGTTACTGGTTTTGGGGGTTCTTTTTTTAGTAAAACTGTTTAGACTTCCCTTCCTCCCCGCCTCCCCATCCCACCCCATTTTTTCTTCATGACATTTAGCAGCACCCTACATAGTTCACACTTTGGGAATTACGCTGGGGTGTAAAAAAAGTAAATATTCTCTACAAATCTTTACAGAACACTTACAACTAGTTAAGCCAAATATTGTCTAGGGGTGCAAAAAGAAAATGTAAGGTACAGTGGTTGCCTGAAGAAGCACCGAACAGCATTACAGAATTGACCATGGCATGCATGAAATAATCAGAGAGCAGTACACGCTGCCGTGGAGTCAAGTGCCTTTGTGTGCTTTGGTGTGCAGTGGAAGGGGATTCAGAAAAGGAGGCTTCACTGTGACCTGCAGCTGTGAAGAGAGCACTTGGGTTGGTGGCATCTAATCCTCACTTCACCTGACAAAGGGTAATTTTTTTTTCTTGAGATAGAGCCTTGCTCTGTCACCCAGGCTGAAGTGCAATGGCGCAATCTCAGCTCACTGCACCCTCTGCCTCCCGGGTTCGAGCGATTCTCCTGCCTTAGCCTCCCTAGGAGCTGGGATTATAGGCGCGTGCCACCATGCTTGGCTAATTTTTTTGAATTTTTAGTAGAGATGGGGTTTCACCATGTTGGCCAAGCTGGTTTCAAACTCCTGACCTCAAGTGATCTGTTTGTGACCCTCAAAGTTCTGGGATTACAGGCGTGAGCCACCATGCCGGCCAAAGGGTAATTTATCCTTATTGGATAGATGGAATCTGATGGGTAGAAAGGAAAAGGATGTTCCAGGCAAGAAATTGGGACCACTGTGTTATTACATCATATGTGGACACTGTGACAGGATTTGGGAATGCCTAAATAACTAGGCTAGTAGGACCCACAGTCTCTGGGGTAGCTTATATTGGTGGCTGGTCTCAAATGAAGTGTGCTTAGACTTACTGGCTTCATTCTCAGGGCCCAACTCCCTGGTACATTCTCAAGTGGCTCCTATATGCTGCCTACAGTGTGCAGAAGAGAATGAGGACAGCCAGTTCTGCTGGCACCAAATGGTGGTGGATCTGGTTGTTTAATTTAAAAGTTAAATTCCAGGCTGAGCACGGTGGTTCACACCTGTAATTCCAGCATTTTGGGAGGCCAAGGCAGGTAGATCACCTGAGGTCAGGAGTTTGAGAGCAGCCTGACCAACATGGAGAAACCCCATCTCTACTAAAAATACAAAATTAGCCGGGTGTGGTGGCACATGCCTGTAATCCCAGGTAGCGAGGAGGCTGAGGCAGGAGAATCGCTTGAACCCAGGAGGCGGAGGTCGCAGTGAGCTGAGATCACGCCTTTGCACTCCAGCCTGGGCAACAAGAGCAAAACTCCGTCTCAAAAAAAAAGTATTAACTATCACTCCTTCATTCAGAAGGTCTGTGGTGTACAAGGACAACATTCAGAAAACTTAATAATTCTGATTTCAGACTCTTCTCTGCTGAAAGCCATAATCATTGGAGGTGAACCTAACCCCTGAGGACTTTTTCTACGCAGAGTTGATATGAAAATCCCTCCAAGGCATAACATTTCAACCTTGTGTGTGTGACACATTCCAAAGTTAATTTTCTTTATCAGTTTTGTCCAAACACATTTTATCACAAAGCCTTTGACCTATGCTTCTGTTCCTATTCCTATGAGTTTTTTATTTTGTTAATGCAGTTTGCCTGAAAATCTGTGTTTCAGTTCTGATAAGCACCAAGTTTTTTCTTCAGTAATTATTAACTCACATTTGAAAATGGCTTTATAGATTTTTTAAAAATTGTTTTAGAAATGGAGTCTCAGGCTGGTCTTGAAATCAGCTACTCAAGTGATCCTTCCACCTTAGCCTCTTGAGTTGCTGGGGTGACAGCTGTGTCCAGCTTAAAAACATTGAAATACATAAAGAGTAACGTAAAACTTTCCTTCTCTTTTCCCTTTAGGGTAGGGAGGGCAGGTGTTGAAGGAATAGAGGGTGTAGAGAATTAGACGTTAACAACAACAGTGGCCTTTTGGTGTTTGAATTCTCTGTTAATCGATTTCTTTTCCCATAGAAATTTTGGACGGTGTGGAACTTGGGGAACCAGCGCATAAGAAAACGGGGACCACAGTGCCAGAATCTATTCATTCTTTCAGTAAGTTCAGCCTCGGAGGAGCGGCACCAATGATTAGCTCATTAAGAAAATAGCAGCTGTGTTATACCCTGAGAGGGGTCAACAAGATGAAGCAACAAAACCGCCTTTGAGCAGGAAAGAGTCCATGAATTTCTCATTATATTCTGAGGACAAAGATGGACACAGAGGAAGGATTGCTGCACACTTACAAAAGTGAATACTTGAGAAAAACAGGGCACCCACTGAACCTGTTGTCCTGCTCCCACTCTCACTGTTACTTCTACTTTTGTGTATTCCAGTTGGAGACGGTTTGGTGAAACCAGAGGCCCTAAATAAGAAAGCTATTCAGATTATTAACAGGGTTCGAGATAAGCTTACTGGTGAGTGTGTGTATGTGTTAACTTAGAAAGGACATAAAATCTGAGCACACTTTCGTCTCTCTGAGTGGTGGTCAGCCCCATGTCCAGTGGTGTTGGTGACGAGCTTTGACACCATGCAGCTGACAAAGAGTGTCTCTGAGGTCATCAGTTAAACATTGTCTCTGATTCTTCTTTCTGATGACTGATAACAATACTTAATATTAGTTAAATCTCATTTAACTCGGGAGGTGAGTAAATTTCTGTTGGGTCCAAAATCAGCCAAATTCAGGGAAATGTTTTTTAATCATCATGTCTTTTTCTTTTTTTTTTTTTTTTTTTTTTTTTTTGAGACAGAGTTTCACTCCCGTTGCCCAGGCTGGAATACAATGGCACCATCTTGGCTCACTGCAACCTCTGCCTCCCAGGTTCAAGCAATTCTTCTGCCTCAGCCTCCCAAGTACCTGGGATTACAGGTGCCCGCCACCATGCCCAGCTAATTTTTTGTATTTTTAGTAGCAATGGAGTTTCACCATGTTGGCCAGGCTGGTCTCGAACTCCTGACCTCAAGTGATCCACCCGCCTTGGCCTCGCAAAATGCTGGATTACAGGCATGAGCCACTGTGCCCAGCCAAATTTTTCTTTAATTTTTTTTTTTTTTTTTTTTTGAGACATTCTCGCTGTGTCACCCAGGCTGGAGTGCAGTGGTGCAATCTTGGTTCACTGCAACCTCCGCCTGCCGGGTTCAAGGGATTCTCCTGCCTCAGGCTACTGAGCAGCTGGGACTATAGGCATGTGCTACCACACTCGGCTAATTTTGTATTTTTAGTAGAGACAGGGTTTCACCATGTTGGCCAGGCTGGTCTCAAACTTCTGACCTCAAGTGATCCACCCACCTCTGCCTCCCAAAGTATTGGGATTACAGGCGTGAGCCACTGCACCTGGCTGAATTTTTCAAATTCAACTATGATATATCCTTCAACTTCATGTCTGAGGAAAAGCTGTTGGCATAGACAGTTAAGCCAACAGGGGACAGGAAGTACATAGACTGCCAGGCAAAGAGTGAAATGTTTCTGTTCCTCCTGCGCTAGGTCGGGACTTCTCTCACGATGACACTTTGGATGTTCCAACACAAGTTGAGCTGCTCATCAAACAAGCGACATCCCATGAAAACCTCTGCCAGTGCTACATTGGCTGGTGAGTGGGGCTCTCAAACTGACTTTGTTAAAATAAACAATCAGGACCCAACCCTAGGCCTCAAAGCCAGGGTAGCAAAAAGAGATTTGGTGGGGCATCTGTAAAGGGCAGTTAGGGCTCAGATCTCTTTAAAAGTTTGTGCTCACTACATGTGCTCATTGTTTTAAAAAAAAAAAAAAATTGAGAAATATGGATGCCTATTTGGAAGGCAAACACTAAAATAAAATTACATTAAGATAAGTGATTTAGGAGAATAGGCAAGGCTTGTTTGTTTGCGAGGGGTTCCTTTTGGGTTTTGCTGTCAGTCCAGTGCAGAGAAACAGGAAGGGCAAAGGAACAAAAAAGTTAGAGCAGTGACAGAAGGAGATTAAAAGACAGATTTATGATCTGGGAGCCTAACCTCAAGGACCACTCTGGGGTGTGCTTTGATTAACTGCCTGAGGCATGCTTAAAGGCAGAAACTTGAGAGAGCGAGCACTGGGAAAGTGTCCTTGTGGGACCTCAGGGGCATTAGCCGTTGACTGGAAATGATGAGTGTGTCCCAGGCAATTAGCTGTGGGAGAACTCAGGGAATACCCTAGGGTTGTCAGACCTTGGTCTTTTCATTTTCAAGTTATCTGCATAAAGCTTTGAAGAAGCTCAAATTATTAAAATATTCCTTTTCTATCTGCCTTCTTAGGTGCCCTTTCTGGTAACTGGAGGCCCAGATGTGCCCGTCATGTTTTTTTCTGAGGCTTTTGTACATTAGTAAATGCTTCCACTAAACTGAAACCATGGTGAAAAAGTTTGACTTTGTTAAATATTTTGAAATGTAAATGAAAAGAACTACTGTATATTAAAAGTTGGTTTGAACCAACTTTCTAGCTGCTGTTGAAGAATATATTGTCAGAAACACAAGGCTTGATTTGGTTCCCGGGACAGTGAAACACAGTACTACCACATAAATCAAGCCATTCATTTTGGGGAACAGAAGATCCATAACTTTAGAAATACGGGTTTTGACTTAACTCACAAGAGAACTCATCATAAGTACTTGCTGATAGAAGAATGACCTAGTTGCTCCTCTCAACATGGGTACAGCAAACTCAGCACAGCCAACCAGCCTCAGGTCATGGAGGACGTGGATTAGGATCCTGGACTGTAAAGATGCGGGAGATGCCAACCTCACCCCTGCCACCCATCCCAAGACCTCACTGGTCTGTGGACGGCAGCAGAAATGTTTGCAAGATACGCCAAAATGAGTGCAAAAGGTCTGTCTTCCATCAGACCCAGTGACGCCGTGACTCACACGCTTCAATCCAAGACCCTACCGCTAGTAGGGGAGTTTATTCAGATCGCTGGCGGCCTCGGCTGAGCAGATGCACAGAGGGGATCACTGCACAGTGGGGCCACCCACACCGGCCTTCCGCAGCATGGGTCTGGGATGTTTTCAGTGGTCAGAATACTCTGTTTAGAGCAAGGGCTCAGAAAACAGAAACACTGTCCTGGAGGTGCTGAACACAGGGAAGGGCTCGACATATTGGGAATTATGAGCAGAACAAATACTCAACTAAATGCACAAAGTATAAAGTGTAGCCATGTCTAGACACCATGTTGTATCAGAATAATTTTTGTGCCAATAAACAACATCAGAATTTTAAACATACATATATGAGTGGCGTTTTCGTCATAATTTTGATCAGTTCAAAACGGAAGCAGTTACTCTTTCAACACTCACTTTGTAGTAGGGATAACAAAGGACATAACGGGGTACGTGACGTGGTCCCTCTCCTCAGACTGTTCCCAGGCCAGACAGGTGGAGACAGCATGCCACAGAAGTGAACAGAACTCACCCCAGCCAAGTGATCAGAAGAGCCGCGTATGGGTCACAGGTAGGAACGCAGATTCCAGTGGGTGAGCCTGGAAAGCCTCATGGAAAGGGGGCCATTTGGCATGGGTCTTAAAGAGGAGTCGGACTCTGTCGGATGAAACAAGTGAGGACATTCTCAGCAGAAGAGGAAGTGCAAGGCACTGCTCTGAAAGCATGGTATCCACAGCAGTGGTGAGTATCACTTGGACTGTGTGAAATTGCAGGTACATGGACCTTTTTTAATATACCCAACTGGCGTTTTCTTATGGCTGCACCTCATAGATCAGCATATCTGGCTACCAGTGGTCAGTGGGGAATAAAGGGAATAACATCAAAATAGTAGTAACTAAAGGAGGCAGGAAAGGAGCATTGGCAGGACTGGAGCCTCCCTCAGATGAGCAGCAAGGAGTATAAACCTGACGCTGTGAAGTTTTAAAACGGAGTAGTTCTGAGTGGTGTTTTTTGTTTTTGTTTTAAGACTGGGTCTCGCTCTGTCACCCAGGCTGGATTGCAGTGGTACAATCATGGCTCACTGCATCCTCAACCCTCTGGACTCAGGTGATCTTCCGGCCTCAACCTCCTGAGTATCTGGGACTACAGATTCTTACCACCACGCCCAGCTAATTTCTTTATTTTTTGTAGACAGTGGGGTGTTGCCATCATTCCCTGGCTGGTCTTGAACTCCTGGACTCAAGGTATCACCTGCCTCAGCCTCCCAAAGGAGCCACTGTGCCCAGCCCTGAGTGGTGTTTTTAAAAGACAACTGGTGGCCAGGTATGGTGGCTTATGCCTGTAATCCCAGCAGTTTGGGAGCCCGAGGCAGGCGGATCACCAGAGGTCAGGAGTTTGAGACCAGCCTGACCAACATGGTGAAACCTTGTCTCTACTAAAAGTGCAAAATTAGCTGGATGTGGTGGCACATGCCTGTAATTCCAGCTACTTGGGAGGCTGAAGCAAGAGAATCGCTTGAACCTGAGAGGTGGAGATTACAGGGAGCTGAGATTGTGCCACTGCTCTCCAGCCTGGGCAATAAGAATGAGACTCCATTTCAAAAAAAATAGTGAAAGACAACTGGTTTCAAACAGATGAAAAGGAAGTTAGAAGCCACAAGACACAGTAAAAGGAGGCTATTGCAATAATGGGGGTAAGGAACATTAACTGGGGCTGACAGGCGCTCTGTATAGATTCCCTCCGAAACAACAGTCCCCAACCTTTTTGGCACTAGGGACTGGTTTTGTGGAAGACAGTTTTTCCAGACTGGATGGCGGGGAGATGGTTTCAGGATGATTCAAGTGCATTACTTTTTTTTTTTTTTGGAGATGGCGTCTTGCTCTGTCACCCAAGCTGGAGTGTAGTGGCGTGATCTTGGCTCACTGCAACCTCCGCCTCCCAGGTTCAAGTAAGTCTCATGAATAATAGGTGTGCACTACCATGCCTGGCTAATTTTTGTATTTTTAGTAGAGAGAGGGTTTCACCATGTTGACCAGGTTGATCTCGAACTCCTGATATCTGGTGCTCTGCCCGCTTCGGCCTCCCAAAGTGCTGGGATTATAGGCGTGAGCCACTGCACCCAGCCCAAGTACATAATACATTTATTGTGCACTGTATTTCTATTATTACATTGTAATATATAATACATATTTTTTTGAGACAGAGTCTCACTGTATCACCAGGATGGAGTGCAGTGGCGCAATCTAGGGTTGCTGCAGCATCCGCCTCCAGGTTCAAGTGATTCTCCTGCCTTAGCCTTCCGAGTAGTGGGGATTATAGGTGCCCACCACCATGCTCTGCTAAATTTTTTTTGTATTTTTAGTAGAGGCAGGGTTTCACTATGTTGGCCAAGATGGTCTCAACCTGCCTCGGCCTCCCAAAGTGCTGGGATTATAGGCATGCACCACTGTGCCTGGCGTGAAATAATTATTCAACTCACCATAATGTAGAATCGAGGAGCCCTGAGCTTGTTTTCCTGCAACTAAACGGTACCATCTGGGGGTGATGTGAGACAGTGACAGATTATCAGGCGTTAGATTCTCATAAGGAGCTTGAAACCTAGATCCCTCGCATGCGCAGTTCACTATAGGGTTCGCGCTTCTATGAGAATCTTTTTTTTTTTTTTTTTGAGACGGAGTTTCGCTCTTGTTACCCAGGCTGGAGTGCAATGGCGCGATCTTAGCTCACCGCAACCTCCGCCTCCTGGGTTCAGGCAATTCTCCTGCCTCAGCCTCCTGAGTAGCTGGGATTACAGGCACACACCACCATGCCCAGCTAATTTTTTGTATTTTTAGTAGAGACGGGGTTTCACCATGTTGACCAGGATGGTCTTGATCTCTTGACCTCGTGATCCCCCCGCCTCGGCCTCCCAAAGTGCTGGGATTACAGGCTTGAGCCACCGCGCCCGGCCTCTATGAGAATCTTAATGCTGACCCTGATCTGACAGGAGGCAGAGCGTAGGCTGTAATGCGAGCGATGGGGAGTGGCTGTAAATACAGATGAAGTTTCCCTCACTCGCCCACTGCTCACCTCCTGCTGTGCGGCCCAGTTTCTAACAGACCACAGGTTGGTACCAGTTTGTAGCCCCAGGGGGTTGAGGCCCCCAGCTGTAAGGAGAGAGCATGCCTAAAGAGAAGCTCTTCTCACCCCACATGGTGGCTCACACCCGTATTCCCAGCATTTTGGGAGGGAAGCCAAGACAGGTGGATCACCTGAGGTGAGGAGTTCAAGATCAGCTTGGCCAACATGGTGAAACCCTGTCTCTACTAAAAATATGAAAATTAGCCAGGTGTGGTGGTGTGTACCTGTAATCACAGCTACTGGGGAGGCTAAGGCAGGAGAACTGCCTGAACCTGGAGGGTGGAGGTTACAGTGAGCCAAGATTGCACCACTGCACTCCAGCCTGGGCAACAGAGTGAGATTCTGTTTAAAAAAAAAAAAAAAAATCCCAGCTACTCAGGAGACTGAGGCAGATCTCAGAATCGCTTAAACCTGAGAGGCAGAGGTTGCGGTGATCGGTGATCGCACCAAGGCACTCCAACCTGACAGAGCAAGACCATTAAAAAAAAAAAAAGTGAATTTAAATCTCAATAGTGATAGTAATAACAGTTTTAACCCTCACAGCTAGAAAGTCACATCCCTACTTGGATTTTCTGTTACAGTCCTAAGCCATTTTATCACTTATTTGCTCCAGAAAATATGGTCACCATAACTGAAATGAAAATAATTCTCATCTGGTTATTTCTTCTGGTTCCACATGAAATAACTCTCAGTGACTACAGTGATGTTACCATTCATTAACGATAAAGGTGTGAGAATGAATGGACGCAGAAAATGGTGGCCATCAGTGATAAAGATACATTCTTTAGGATGTAAGAGTCTTAGATTAAGGTCTTCCGTGAATCCAACAGATTTAAGGTCTATCTAAGCAAAGCCTTCTGGCTTTGTTGAGACAAATTACCAAAGGCAGGGAAGGAGCTAATGGAGGCCTTTAAATACAGTTTAGTCCAGCCAGGCACAGTGGCTCATTCCTATAACCCCAATACTTTGAGAGGCTGAAGTGAGAGGACTGCTTGAATCCAGGAGTTTGAGACCAGCAGAGGAACAGAGTAAGACCCTACTTCTACAAAAAATAAAAAATTAGGCATGGTGGCACGGGCCTGGTCTACCCTGGATGCTGAGGCCAAAGGATTGGTTGAGCCCAGGAGTTCAAGCTGTAGTGTAAGCTATGATTGTGCCACTGCACTCCAGTCTGGGTGACAGAGACCCTGTCTCTAAAAATAAATACATAAACAAGGATGAAGATCTTTATGATGATCCACTTAATGAATAGTAAATATATTTTCCTTATAATTTTTTTTCTTTCTGTTCTTTTTTTAATGAGACAGTCTTACTCTGCTGCCCAGGCTGGAGTGCAATGGCTCACTGCAACTTCTGCCTCCCAGGTGCAAATGATTTTCCTGCGTCAGCCTCCCAAGTAGCTGGGATTACAGGCACACACCACCACGCCCGGCTAATTTTTGTATTTTTAGTAGAGATGGGGTTTCATCACGTTGGCCAGGCTGGTCTCGAACTCCCGACCTCAGGTCATCCGCCCGCCTCAGCCTCTCAAAGTGCTGGGATTACAGCAAGACCAAGTGGGTGAGGGGAACACACAGTCAGCCAGAGCTTGGGAGAAAGTGACTTTAAATACGAGGATGGGCCGGGCACAGTGGCTCCGGCCTGTAATCCCAGTGGGGTGTAATCCCAGTGGGGTGTAATCCCAGTGGGGTGGAAGGTCGGCTTCTCAAGAGTTTGACACCAGCCTGGTAAGAGGCAGTCTTAAAAAAAAAAGAAAAAAAATTAGGCCGGGCACTGGTGGATCACGCCTGTAATCCCAGCACTTTGGAAGGCCATGACGGACAGATCACTTGAGGTCAGGAGTTTGAGACCAGCCTGGGCAACATGGTGAAACCCTGTCTCTACTAAAAATACAAAAGAAAAAAAAAAAAAATTAGGCCTCATGCCACACGCCTGTAATCTCAGCTATGTGAATCCAGGAAGTGGAGGTTGTGGTGAGCTGGGCTTGCACTGCTGCATTACAGTCCGGGCAGCAGTCAGACTCTGTCTCAAAAAATAAAAAATAATTTGGCTGCCTGCTGGTGGCTCAAACCTGTAATCCCAGCACTTTGGGAGACCAACAGAGTGAGACTTTATCTCAATGTAATTATTTTTATTTTTATTTGAGACAAGGTTTTGCCATGGTTCCATCTCGCCTCACTGTAACCTCCGCCTCCCAGGCTCAAGCCTCAGCCTCCCGAGTAGCTGG